TCGCACTGTGTTGTGCACGTGCTTCCTCATGGCTTGTGTTAGGACTGATCCTGAATACAGAAAACACAGTGTTCATCTGAAAAGCAATTCTTGATAGCTGCCATCTTGAGACAGTCTCTCACTGCGACCCCTAGTTTGGCCATCTAAATGGCTGTTTAGCAGCTCTAACCCTCTGCAACTTCCCCTGTTGAGCTCATATCACACAACTTCCCACCTCTGAGACAACCTCTTCCCTCTTTTCAAAGAAACAGTGGCTTGCTTCCTTCAGGGTGACTCTAAGGGAGGGAAAGCATCTGTAATCAGCAGCTGTAAGCGTTCTCATCCATGAACTAGATAGAGACTTGCTAACTACTCTTAGTTGATTGCTGTGGTAGCTGGTGTCTAACAGAGTTCACAAGTTCATTTGGTGAGTGTTTTCCATGGACCTCTTGCACAACTGATTGTAGTCCACCGCAGGAACCTCCAGCACTGCTGAAACTCAAGCATTTAGCAGCATTGACCCCGAGATTAGCTCAGCTGGTTAGAGCATGGTGCTAATAACACCGAGGTTGTGGGTTTGATCCCCGTATGGGCCATTCACTTAAGAGTTGAACACAGTGATCCTTGTGGGTCCCTTCCAACTCAGAACATTCTGTGATTAACTGTCTGCCTAAGCCTGTGGCTCTGCTCAGGCAGTTTCCAAAGTTATAAGACATATTTAACTAGGTCAGTCTCCAAACAGGACCCCAGCCAGCTAACAGAACTAATGCTTCTGTGCTCTTCAGATGGAGAGCATGGGAGGTTTGTTAATGTCAAAATTACTAAAATAGCCTCAAGGTAAAACATGGAGGGGTCTTAACATATGACCCATCCTATAAATAACCCACAGTGCAATCTATAGGCAATATCTGCACAGCAGCTGACAGTGCTGCTGGCAGATAAACTGAATGATGTCACAGTTGTACTCCTCAGCCCAGCCAGTAATTTCTTCTTCACTTCTCTCCTCTCTTCTCTTCTCAAGAAATGTATGGTAACCAGATTATCTTCAAGTCTTCCAGACTCCTTTCATATTTAATGGAAATTCAAAAGTTATTGCTGGTATTAAAAAACAGATGCAACTGCATAAGCCTTGATCCCTTTGAAAAATCAGTTACTTCTGCAGTGGAGGCACAGGTGGGGTGTGCTAGTGAGCTACAGAACACCTGGCAGAAAAGGCAAGGGAGTATGAGACAAGTTCTCTGCTTTGAGGTCAACTCATCAATTTCTCCTATTCATCCTACTGTTAGTGAGTACACAGACACATATTCACAACTGTCTGAATATTCACATATTCACACTGCTGACTTTATGCTACATAGGGACATATGCTCTGTACCATTTTCCTCTTCCCATATACCTCATCAAACTTGTTCAGCCACATACCTGCTCAGAAGGGTTTCAAGCATTCTGTGGCTTGTCCGGGTTACCCTGTACTGTAAAGCTGCTGCTATATGAACAGTATGGTTTTCCACTTACAAAAGGTGAGCTAGTGAGGTGTTCCTGCTGTAGGAGCAGCTGAGTCCTCACCTCAGTTGTTTATCCTAGTCCTTCTTTCTTGAATTGTCTTTCCTCTGCATCTCAACGTATTTCAGCATCTGCAAAGTGCAGGTCTTGAGTGTGGAAGATGTCATACCCATTTCTTTCAAGTTTAGGGCTTAAAAACTGAAAATTAAATATTGTGGTTTGCATTTACAGGAGTATAATTCCAACAGGATCTCTTGCAGATCCAGTTGGCATTATTCTAGGAAGCCATGGTAGCAACTGCTTGGTTGTGCTGTTTGGAAGAAGGTCTGGCCTTGAATAACTGAAGGAAAAAGCAATGATGAAGAAGTCCCCGTCATGCACCAAATGTCATGAAAATCAAATATCAATACTGTGGATTTTGCTTCTTCAGTAAAAAGGAGAATATAATTATATCCTTGGTTTATAGATAATAGAAGTATGGTGGTTTTTTTTTATTTTAATCGAAAAAGTCCTCACAGTTACCCACTGTTTCCAAAGCCTCTAGTAACTCACACTAACAGTGAGAGAAAGAAGGTAATGACCCTGCAAATTCCCTTGCAGAAAAGAGAGCAGGCTTGGTATAAACTTGCAACAAACATCTCCTACTCACACAAAAAAACAAACACAAGGGTTCTCATGTGTGTGCAAGACTTTTAAGGCCTATATAATCCAGCTCGATGCAGAAAGATCACAAGTTTGATTTAGACTGGCTCAGGACTAGCTATTTGATTAAAGCAAATGCTCTGTTTACCCTGGGATAATCAGTGAGTCTTTCCTTGCCCACTTATCCTCTCCCTGTTCAGGATGTCTGCTCACACAGGAAACAGTCACATAATGGGAAATTTAGCGAGTGGAAACTACTCCACAGAGTGCCCCACATGCCCTGTTCTGGAGTGCAGGAAGTGAACTACACATGTGTTCCAGGGAAAGTGGATGAAAGTCCTATCATTGACCTTGAAGGACCTTCAATGATAAGAGTATCTGACTCATTTTCTGAGGTTCGATGTCAGACAAGACATCATGCTCCTCCATTCCTCCTGCAGATGGATTTGGGGCAAGAGCAGTATCTTAGGAAATGATACCTGTTTGGAATGAGACATCACAAAGGGACAATAGTCCCAGTCTCCAGTCACAAATTTTTCCACAGCACAAAAATTCCCAAGGAAAAAAACAAGTATATCCATATAGAGGAGTTTGCTGTTGTTTGTCTGTTATTGGGGGAAGGGAGTTTTTTGGTGGGATTTTTGATGTTATGTTCTTTGTGCTTTTTACATAATGGTACTCAGCACTATTAATACTACTACTCATTAGTGAGCACTCTGTTACTTCCTAGGAGAAAAGAACAGGAGAAATTTCCTCAACAAAATCATAAAAGGGGCAATAGAAAAATACAAAACTTGATGTGGAGGAGCTATAAATGATCGATTTTATGGAAAGAAGGGGAGAGGGAAGAAGGCGGGGAGAACGTCCTCCGAAGAGGGAGGCTGGGCTCCAGCACCGGGAATTACCGCCTGGTGCCCTCTAGTGCCATCACCGAATTAAGGTGGCCGTGCAACTCCACACCTACACAGCACCACAGCTCCGTGCACGTCAGCGCACGCATTACCTCTGCTAGTCACCATCCCCACTCACACCAAACACTGTCAAAGGGCTGCTCGTGGTGCCCCAGGCGCTTGTTTAAAGTGAGGAAGGAATCTGCACTCCAGAAAGATCCCCCCAAATCACTCACAGCAGGCCCCTTTCAACTCAAATCAAAAGGCCACTGTGAGCACACCAGGAAGCAAAAGGAGATGCAATGGAGGTCCTGCAGGACCTGAACCCCTTTCTGGTGCATCACATGGTAGGGATCTGGTGATGAGGGTCTCAACCACATCTTTCTTGCATGTTAGAGGACCAGACAGCCTTATAGGCTTAAGAAGACACTCTTCCAGAGTCTCTCAGTGAGGTAGAAACTGTAGAGCACAGTTCTTCAGGAGAAAGGGAGGCCTGAAAATACTTGACTGAGTCTCTACCTGTGTCGCAGTCATGGGACAGGCTACTATGTCAGCTCTAAAAAAAAAAAAAAAAGGAGGAGGAGTCAATATTGTCCTTCTCATTCTATCTCAGTGTTTTCCGCAGGGTTTGGAGTCTGATTCAGCAGACTGTGCAAGAAGGGCTGACGATAAATATGACACACCATGCTTTCCCCTTTCTTTCCTGGTGGGACATTTCAATAGAGTGTTTACTAATCCCTTCCTACAAGGAAACTCTAAGATTATTTTCCTCAAGCCTCTTATACACCATGCACATTGCCCTGCATTAGGACCTTACTTGAGGCAGCCTTTGGTCAAAAAAGAGCAGGATTCATTGTCGGGGCAAGTGAAAGGCAACCATCACCTTCCTGTTCACCTATGATAGGAGGAATAGAAACATTACTCACAGCATTCCGGTATTCTCAAATAATCTTAGAGAAGTCCTAGAGAATTAGATAAGAGATGTATCTCAAGTAAACAAGACTGGACTTTGTTTCTGCTGCTTTTAAGTATCACCTGAAGCAAACGCCCACACACAGACTGAGGTCCACCCCTCTAAGCCCTTCAGTGAGACAATAGTTCATCTCCTGGTCTCCTGAATCTGTCAGCTGGTTATTTCAGGTGGACCACAAATCTGGAAGCTAAGCCTTTTCCCCAGTTTTTCAAGCTTCTCAGCATGGGCCAACACTGCCTAGAGAGCAAGTCTCTGGAAACCATATACTGACACTGGGGAATCCAACCCTAGAACTGAAAAGCTCTGCAAGGCAGAGAGACAAAATACCCCTCTCCTCATGTTTCCCTTGGTTTCTGGAGAGCACCTAGAGAAAAACTCCTCATCTCTGAACCTAACACAGCCCTTTCCTACTGTCATAAAGCCTTCTTAAATGTAGGGTATGATGTTCTCCTCTACCATCAAAACCAAAATCTTCTTCCTGCCAGCTTTGCTCCACTCAGTCCTCTTGGGTAGATAGCCCTAAAACTTTTGTGTGTCTTTCACCCAAACCCCACATCTCTACATCAGCAGAAGTAAGACACTGGACTCATCATCTCTGTCAGGCTTCTCCACATGCAGATGCACATATACAAGCCAAGACCTACATCCACAGGGCTCACTGCCCATTTCTTAGGGATTAAGTTTCCCCCTCAAAGCACGTGACTCTTACACTCCTCACCCCCACACCATTTCCCAGTATTAGGTCACACATATCTGCCTATGCTTCTGCAAAACCCCTGAGGATCACAAAGCAAAAGTCCCTGTCTAATGCAAGGCTGGTGCTGCTATTACCAAGCCAGAGCTTTGTGGCTGGACTTCGATGTATGTGGTCATCAGCAAGAGGCAGATGATCTACGTCAGAGCTGTGATGACTCAGGGGGTTTTAGGGTGATTTTTTTCTTTCCCCCACAGCCAATAAGAGCACTCACAGAGGCATATCTTCTCCAGCAGGAAGTAGGGCAGTCACTCCCCTGTCTGCCAGGCTCCTATGAAGTGGTGGAGATGGCAGTGAACTTCATCTACAGTTGTATTGTACTTTGCTGCTTAACACTCTGGAGCTTCAACAGGACTTCATGTGGTAAGAGTGAAAAATAATTGCTTTTGTCCTTGTGTTTTAGGTTCTGTGAGTGCTGCTACCTAATGCACTGGTCAATAACAGCTCTTTTCCAACTGCTGCCCATGCTGGCTCAGCACTGCAGGGTTGAGACTGCAGCTGAAAATCCAACTGCTTAAAAGACTTTCCTTGTAGTTAAGCATGTTATCTCCATGGATATCATTTAAGGATTTTAAAGTCAACGGTTTTAACTCTGCGTGACCTTAAATACTAAATCTAAAGATTGTGGGTAACAACTTGATTGCTAGGTACAGATGGGCACTTGAGTGCCGATTAGCTGACTTTAATGAAGCATTATTCTGTATCGTTTCTTTCTTTGCTGAGCAAGGAAACTTAATTGCAGCTGCCCTTAAATCTTTAGAATGGCAGCTGCAAGCAGGAGTGTTTTTCTCTGAAGGTTTTAGTTCTACTTCAGTTTCACTTTGCCTCCCATATACTGAAAATACTGATGCACTCGGGGATGGTATTTGGTTAGCCAGTAGATTTTTGTTTCTGCTGTGGTTTCCCTTAGGTGTTGCAGAGGCATGCAGGGACTCTGGTGCATCTTAAGTGTAAAGATAAGGCCTAGCATTGCTTCTAGTAACGAGGAAGAGGTTTTGAAAGCGCCTTATAGAAAAAAAAAATCAACCTGTTTCAATCTGCCTATTTGTTTCACTGCGGGCTGGGAGGGAGCATCTACAGGATTGCTCTCTCATACTGCAGAAACGAGGTCCTGAAAGTATTACTTAAGGAAGAAAGCACAAAAGAGGTCCTCTTAATACAACATTCAGCTCCTCTCTGCAAGAACAGTCCTCGCTTGCTTGTTAAGTTTGAGCAAGAAAAGAATCTAACCCTACCATCATCCAAGAGGAGGAGCAGGAGGAGGGCTGGCTTCTCTCTCGTTCTCTCTCTCTTCACATTTACAAATCCAGAAGCAATGATGGGGTCTGAAATATGTATGCTCTGGCCCTAAGCATCTCCTGGTAGACCCACAAGAGTTTTCTGCCCAAGTCATGAGATCACATCCTCTGGGCCTCTAAGTATTGTAGGTGCCTGGGCAGGTCATGCAGTGTCTCTGCTCCTGCCCAGGACTGGATTACAATTGTTTCAGCAATGCTGGTATGCCTAGAGCCCTGCACTGCTATCTGACCCTCTGAGCCATTCTGCCTTGTGCCTGGAGCTGGGCCATCACCTTACACAAATTCAACTTTTTAAGGTAATGGCACTCAAGGGCCAAGCTAGGGAAGAAACAGACAGAAAAGGTTGCAGAGAGTACAGGTGCCTCACATCAGAGAGTTTCCGAGTTTTGGAAATATAGTACTGCAAACTATTTCAAACACTAAAAGTGACTTCAGTCCAGTGTGTGTGCCATGCAGTGACCATCCTGAATGAGAAGCAAAGCACACAAAGAAAACTGAATCCTAACCTTAAGGAATCTGAGTCATCGAAGGAAAATAGGAGGGTAAAGATCTCCAGGTGATGCATTTCAGACATGTAGCCACATGTGACACTGATCAATCTACCAGGCACTGGAGTCAGGAACAAGGTCACTTTGGACTCTGACTTTTGGTTTGAGTAACACAGGTGATAGTTTTTTTCCTATAAAGTGTAATTTCAGCCAGTCTCACTCACCCTCGCACCCCATGCCTGTAAAAGACATCACCATGACTCAAGAGGTGTTGAGGGCTCTCAAAAGCCACAAAAGGACCTTGTGTTAAGACTGAAAAAGCCTATGATTTCTTCTACAAAGAAGAGTATCTGATGTTAACACCCCCATCACTGCCACACCTGACCTTCCAACAGGTGTGAAAGCACAGATTCAAGCAAGGTCCTGGTGAGCAGCAAGAAGAACCCAGGGCAGTGACCTGCTTTTAGCTTGGCAGACTATTTCAGTTGCTAGGTGAGCTCAGGATAAAACTGATTCCTATAAGCTGTTGGGTTGGTATTGATGGCACAGGTAAAAGCATGGCATTCCTGAGGGAAAGGACAGCTGGCCTTACGGGCAAACCAAAGCCTGGCTCTACCTCAAACTTCCTTTCTGACTTCAGGCAGGTCCTGCATGACCCTCTTGAATCACCTGTGGATCCTAGTGCCTTAACCCCCTTTGACAACTGGGTAAAATGTGCTTGCTTAAGAAATACCTTCAGTCCAAGGCTCCATGGTCATGAGCTTCTGTGACTCTTGAATCCCATCCTTGCTACAGTGAGAAAATACCATCCCATAGAGAATAATCTTGGGACCCATAGGTGGATTCTGGACTATTAGGTGAAAAAACACCACCAGATTGCCCAGCAATGGCTGCACACCCAGTCCCAACATAGATCAGAGACATGGGATAGGAAAGTTCATCACCTCCACACCAAACACAAAGCCACGTGGAGAACATTTGCTCCTTTCAAACACATGGTCTCTCAGCTCCCATCTGCAAGAAAACATGGAAGTCATTAAGGTAGCTGTGGTATCAGCCAGGAAGAGATATGAATTTGGACATCCTTGGGTTGAGGAGGGATGTAGAACTGAGTCTTTTCAGGTCAAGATGTAAATCCTTGAACAGTGTTGCAAGTAGGTGCAGCAATTAACACCTGTGGAGGAGGATGTGATAGTGTAACTAGGACATATATAAGCAACCTGTAAGATAAATTTTTGCAAATTTCTATGCTGATGATGATGACATGTAATGCTGGTTTGGTTTGGGTTTTTTTTTAAATAATCTATTTTTTAAATGGATCACCAAGACCCTGTCTTCTACTTAGGTTTCTCAGTGCAAATTGGCTTAGAGTCTATGCTCTGTGTAACTGGCTGTGAGTGAGTAATCTATTTGTGAAAAACCACTAGAGGTGATAAAAAGCTTGACTTTCACAATGGATTCAATACAAGTTCTGTGTGCACACGATCACTGCCTACACAAACACAGCATGAACTTGAGCATCATCTCCTGCACTGGCAGGTCTTAGCATTAGCAGTGGCTGCACGGCCCCTTGTGCAGGTTGAGGATTTTTTACTCTTCTTTGATTTCAGAAGTGGGAAAATGGAAAATGGAGAGGAAGCCAAATGTAAAAGGGGATGAAATAATGATATCAACTGTAAGCTTCCAGCTTCTTTTCAAGTATTGAAAAATAAGCAGAGCATGGGGAAATAGCTACACAACCAAGTAAAAATATACAGTAAATGATTCTATGAAGTGCTCTAGTGTGAAAGGCAATGGGTTAACCTTCACACCCCCCAACTTCCATTTCTTCCACAACTTGTTTCTCCACTTCATGACCTTGATAATCATAGAATGGTTTGGGTTGGAAGGGACCTTAAAGATAATCTATTCCAAACACCCTGTCATGGGCAGGAACACCCTCCACTAGACCAGGTTGCTCAAAGTCCCATCCAGCCTAGCCTTGAACACTTCCAGGGATGGGGCATCCACAACTTCTCTGGGCAACATGTTCCAATGTCTTATCACCCTTTCAGTGAAGAATTTCTTCCTAATATCTAATCTAAACCTGCCCTCTGCCAGTTTAAAGCCATTACCCCTCCTCCTGTCACTACATGCCATTGTCAGAAGTCCTTCTCCATGTCTCTTGTAGGCTCCCTTCAGGTACTGAAAGGCTGCAATAAGGTCACCTAAGAACCTTCTCCAGGCTGAACAATCTCAATTCTCTCAGCTTTTCCTCATAGGAAAGGTGCTCCATCCTCTAATCATCTTCATGGCCCTCTTCTGGATTTGCTCAAACATGTCTATGTCCTTCTTATGCTGGAGGCCCCAGAGTTTGATGAAGTATTCCATGTGGGATCTTGACATTGACAGAAGATGGTCCCTGACATTTGGGTCGGGGCAACAGCACTTCAATTCTCAAAGCAGCTCATTTTACAGTGAGGAACTAGTCCAAGTTCTGCCCCAGGCCCTTCCCTGCCCAGCTGGAGAAGAGGGACACCCTGTCTTTTGTCAGTATATACAATGAGGGCATCTTCCCCTCACCTTGATCACTATCTAAATGCTTCTAACATAAAAACCTCAAGATGCTATCAAAGGCTTAAGGGTGGTGTGGGTGAGAAAGAACTTATATCTGCAAGATAAGATATGCAAACTAAGAGCAGCAGGGCTCTCTAGCCAGTGTTTGATATGTTATCAAAACTGTATTGTACTCAGAACAACCTGATCTATCTTTATAAGTAGATTCAAAGTCAGTCCTTCTATAAACTGGGAGTTGTACCAGAGACCTTTTAAATAATATTAGTGATACTCTGGGTTCTTCTAAGTCAGTTTGAGCTCTGCTATCACTTCTGGCAGCAGCTTTTTATGTCACTTCATTCCACCGGATTCTTTCACCATTTCAAACATAAAAAGGAAAATTACTTTTAATGGATGTGAGCAGAGTCCTTCTGAAGCACAAAAAGCATTGGACAGGTAAGAACGTTAAGAGGGTTAAAGGTCCCACCCTTTCAGGCAGCTGATGTATTTTACAGTCATGTTTCGTGTTGTTTCAGATATACATGTACCACCACCTCATTCAACCATGAAACCTGGCTCCCCTATCCCAGCGAACATCAACAGCCCTGGTGTTCGCAAAGCAGCTCGCTTTGGGGTTTATAGATACAACAACAGTTCCAATGACCTCTTTCTGTTTAAGGATTCACGAATAAACAAAGCCATGGTACAGGTAAGAAGAGCACACTTCTGCAGGTCCTTCAACCCATTTTCTAATTGACCCTCCTATGGCACACCCAAGACATGGCAGCCCTGATCCTCCTCAGGACTGCTATGAATGCCTAAAGCTGTCCCTCTATCGCCCTGCTACACAGGAGGGCTCTGTGTAAGTGACACACAATTTTCAGATGTAGCACTTGATTCCTAGCCAAAATTTTGGCATCTCTTTCCCCTGCCCTTACTTTAAAGGAGGAAACTACTTTCTCTAGATTGTCAGAGGGCTGAAATACATGCTCCATGTGGAAATCAAACGCACTGTGTGTGAGAAGAGGAAGCACTCCAGCCTGGACAGCTGTCACTTCCAGAGGAAAAAAAACCTGCAACAGGTGTGTCCAATTCCTTTTGGGTATTCAATAACTGCTGGAGTAACTGGAGGTGATTCTTGGCCATCTCTAGCTGTATAATCACCTTCAGACCGGCTCTGCCAAGTCCCCATAGATGTACAAGCCTCTTCTCTGTAGAGCCAGCCAGGGTGAGGTAGGATTATTATCTCTCAAGCATCCAGGGCCAGCTCTTGTCTGCAAAGAATTGAACTGGACACATCCACCTAGCCCATATCCCTGGGTGAACGTGTGCAGAAATACAGTAGGTGCTAGAGGTTTTCTAGGTGGGGGAAATCCTTACACAGGCTTTCCTGCTAGACATGATTACTTAGCAAACAGTACTCTTCCTGGGATAAAGTGGGCAGACAAAAAGATGCTCTCCTCTCCTGCCCCATCATGGCCCGCAATGCTGAGACCAACCCACAGAGAGGGGTTGAGACCAACAGACACCTGAACTTTCTCACCAATTTTCCATTTATTTGCAGACGCTGAGATGCTATTTTGAGGTCTGGATAACACCTTGGCTACAGAAAGTACATGTCCCTGTTGTCCACTGTCACCAACAGCTTTCCCCATGAGACCCTGACTTACAGGGGATCTACCACCATGTGTTTTTCCTTATCTGGACTGTTGACATCAATACTAAAGTGGAGAATGTACAGAACCACCATAGAGCTTTTCTCTCAAAGTGCATGGTTGTTTTTTCCTTGAGAACGATACTCAAAAGTGACAAAGACCTGCCTTGACTGAATGTATTGCTATCCAGTTGTGTATCTCTTTTTCCAAAACTAAAGTGTACATGAACACATGTTTTCATTGATTCAGTAATGACCCATCCACGCTCTGGCTGCATTTTCAAGCACACCCAGGAAGTCGTTACACTTGCTTTATTCTGTGATAACCTTCACAAAGCCATGATGGAAGCAAGTCTAAACCACAGCACGTGTGACTACAACACCGAGGAAAGCTTTACAACAGTGGGATAGTTTGCCTGGGGATACACACATGCACAAGTTTTAAGAGTCTCCAGTGATAGGGAAAAGGTTAGACATATTTATCAGGAATGCAAGAGGTAGACAGAAGTTCTTTTTTCAAGACAGAAGTACGGATAAGAATGTCTTGAAACATAGATAGCCCAGAAATGACACAGTCTAACTACTGCTTCTACTTTAATCAAAAGCTAATCTACACTATGAAAGGGCATCACTGCAAATGCCAAGATGAATAAACTTAATCATATTCCCAAAGCATAATTCTGCTGAGGTTAAACAAAATAGTTTCATGTAGGTTAACACATGATATTTAATCTCTGGCAGACCACAGATTATATTCAGGTTCAGGAGAATGATGGTTTTCTTTACGTGGGCATCTACCATTCCTTCAGCCTTCACTCTTCATCCATGGGCTGATTATTGCTTACACTGGACTAAGGTCCTTATTAGCAAGGATTCAGGTAGCTGGTCCCTTAAAACAGCAATAAAGTCTGACCCCATGTTCAGTCATTCATAGACCAGCACTTCTAAATGTAAAGGGCCCTGACCTAAGCCACAAAGAGCATGTTTTTTTCCCCACAAACACTCCTCTTCTGAGAGTTGTTGCCTTTCTACAGCAATATTGCAACTCGTATTAGCAGTAACAATTTCAGCCTTTATAACAAGCATTCAGTCAAGAAAGGCCAGTGAAGAGCTCTGGGCCAAGGGCTGGGGATCTTAAGATGGATCTATTAACAGCATAGCTGAGGTCTCTGCTCCAAGTAATCCCAAAGCAAACCTTTGCAAGCTGGGCAAGTCTCAAGTCCTGCTTCAGAAACATCATTTGTGATGAGCAGGTGACCCACCAGCAGGTCAAATTCAGCATCCAGTGCTGGAGAGGCAGCTGTGTTGCATCTTGTCTTTGGGAATAGCAGTCTTTTGTCTGGAAAAAAAAGCAGTGTTCAAAAGAAAGCTCCCGAAGGGTCATGAAAGGATGTAATTTGGTGCTACATTCACCCAACACACAAGCTACCACTGACAGCCTGGTGCCAAAGACAAGGAGAAAGAAAGTCAACTATAGTGGCTTGAGTTGTTCAGGAAGCAGCAAAGTCAAGCCACAGCTAAGTTTGTAGGAAGGCAAGAAGCCAAGACTGCTCTTCGAATCTCAAAGGGGTTAGTGTCTTGGTTTAAAGACAAATATTGGGAGGAGAACTCCAATAAAATGAATTCCCTCCCCTTTTTATTAGCCCCCCCCCCCAATATAGAGAGACAAAAAAAAGCAAGGAGGTTTTAAGTGAAAAAATAACAGTTTACTAACAAGGAAAGATAGCAGCACCACAAAGATACAAAGGAAATGGCTTACCCACAAAAAAAGAGTTTACCGCATCACGCAGTCCCCCAGGAACAAAGGGGAAAGAGAATGGTGGAGGGTCCTCCCTGCCAACCACCCTGTCCACCCAACCAAACAAAAGAAAACCATGGAAGAACAGGGGCAAAAGCAAAAAAACCAGAACTGCGCTGCTCACAGGAGCCACACCACCAAACTGGCCACTCCATACGATTTAGTTAACTAAACTAAAACTGCAGTGGTGGTACCAGTTCAGAGTCTCCTTGTTCTCTGCCACATGTTACCCCCGATGCAGTGCCTTGGCCCACTTGGCTTGACTGGGCTGTGTAGTGGCAGCAGGGGCTCCGGCACAGGCAGCGATTCCACGTGGCAAGTGAACAGCAGCAGTTCCATGTGCTCTGGCAGTGGCAGGCCCGGGTGGCACTCTGGCAGCGCCGGTGAGACTGTGGCAGTGTGGCAGCTGGGGGGGCAGGGGTGACCCCTGGGCTGCTTTGATTCCAGCACAACACAGCGAGTCAGTGGCTCCCAGCTTTGCTGCTGTCCCAGCAAGGCAGGGACGGTTTCTGGCCATGGCTGAGACCCTGGATCAACTCTTTCCCCGCAGCAAAACACCCCCCCTCCTCGAACACGGCATACCCTCTTCAGATGACGTAATGGTATGAATATTCACCATAACAGTTAGGAATGGTCTCAATCCCTTTCTCCCTTCAGCTGAGTGTTTCACACAATGCCAAGGGCTTCCAACCAGGCTGTTGGCCCTACACAGTCTAGCCCAGAATGGTTCTTCCTTCAGATAGCAGGACAGTAACGGATGTCATACACCTTTCACATGCCACAGTGGGGGTGAAAGGCAGCACACTGTTGGCTCACGTCTGTGCAGAGACACATGCAGACAGTAAGCACACCACAGAACAGTGTCCCATGTGTGACTCTTCAAGTCCCTGACACAAGCAGCTTTGTCGCAGTCTCCTCACCGAGCCAATTCTCTATTTGTCAGAGCAACAAAAGTTAAAGCCAAGTGAACTTTACAGAATCACAGAATATGCCAAGTTGGAAGGGACCCACAAGGATCACTGAGTCCAAATCCTGGCCCTGCACAGGACCATGCCCAAGAGTCACACCATGTGCCTGAGATATTGTCAAAATTCTTCTTGAACTCTGTCAGGCTTGGTGCTGCGACCACTTCCCTGGGGAGCCTGTTCCAGCACCCAACCACTCTCTGGGTGAAGAATCTTTGTCTAATATCTCACTAAACCTCCCCTGACACAACTTCAGGCCATTCCTTTGGGTCCTGCCAACAACTGGTCACCACAGAGAAGAGATCACTGTCTGACCATCCTCTTCCTCTCAGGAGGAAGTTGTAACTGCAATGAGGTCTCCCCTCAGTCTCCTCTTCTCCAGGCTGAACAGACAGAGTGACCTCAGCCGCTCCTCATACAGCCCTCTCAAGGCCCTTCACCATCTTCACTGCCCTCCTTTGGACACTCTCTAATACCTTAATAATGTTCTCTAATAACTTAGCATCATGCAGGCTGATAAACCCAACATGATCTTGTTGCTCTGTCCAGGAAAATGCAGCAAGACAGTTTGGACCTCTCTATCCAAACAGACAAGCACCTTCTGAGAAAGACAGGTCAGCCTTATGTTTAAAGCTGCATCATCTCCCCAGGTAGATAACAGAACTTTCATGAGCACCAAAGAAATAAGCAGAGCTAAAGTCAACTAAGCTTTTTGTACCACTCCAGAGCACTTCGCTGAGGAAAGATTTGGGAAATTAAAGAAGAGGACACTGCTAGCACTGACCTAAAGAACTGGAGCTAAATACCATTTAATCCCAATGACATGCAGCAATCAAATAGCCAATGTCTCTGCCCTCTGCATCTTTGCTAGAATTTACACCAAGGTTAACTCTTCATCACTTCACTCCAAGGAGTTCACATCCTTGCAGAGCTTGCCAAGGCTCTGACGTCTATTCCAGGTTACAATGGCGATTAAATAAAAATATTTCTAGTAAATATTTAGGGCATAAGGTGAAAAGAAAAACTTGTTCTTGCTAGCCCTGGATGTTGGAGAAAAAAGAACATCCCAGCAGTGACATTAAGAGCTTGTGAACAACCAAAGCTGGTGCTTCTGAAGTATGGGTTCATGCAGGACTGGTACAAACAAGCTGAAGGAGTGGCTTACTTCAGCCTCAGATTTCTCTCCAGTATGCTGGAAGCAATGGGCTCAATGCATGACACAGTTTCCTGGCTCATCTACTTAAGAGGAAACTTAGCTGCATGTGAGGATGAGATCTCAAACAGTCTGCCACATGGAAGGACTGGCTGCACACTGAGGAGACCTCCAGTGCTACTCAAACCAAGCTAGCCTGAGTTTCACCAGAGTTTCACAGTGCTCAGTGATCCTCAAAGGGAGATCTGCATTTGCTCAAAAGCTTTGCTATGCAAATACTTCCTCTGATACTCTCATTTTTGAAACTGTACAGGAAAAACTGCCTGCCACCAGTCTGCTTACTGACAGACTTTCACTTTGCATTCTCTTCACATCAATAGCTCTACATTAAGGACTTGGAAGTCGTGCCTATACTAGGTGTACCCAATTTCACAACCTCACTGACCTTCAGAACTCACAGCTAGGGGAGTCACACGTGCAGTGCACAGAACCAAAACAAGGTTTAATCGGCAGCAGCTAGATAAGGAGACACGACTGCTGCTGGCTACAAGGAAAAAGCCTTGTATATAGCTAACTACAATCACTTACTGCAAAATTTTTCAGTCCATACCTCAAACAAATTAGCAGAAATTAGCTGCCTTATGTGCTCTTTGCAGCTAGATAAGAAGGCCCAGGTGTCAGCATCATCAGATCTCTGTTGAGATCACTGAACAGACAGACCTAGAGGTCATCATCTCACCTCCAAAGGTCACTGACACAAAGCAGACACAGATTTAAAGGAATCAGACTTATGCCAAGGCTTTGCAATCACTTTCATCAGCTGTTTACACTGAGAAACCAACTTTTGCATAAAAGTGTCAGAGGGATACGTGAGTTATCTTCCAGCAGCTCTACTAAAGGAGAAGTTTGCTACAGAAAAGAGACAGGGCAGTTAGCTGTGGAGTAACATTTTAAATAGCTTCAGCAAAATCTTCCTGATACTTGTGCCCTGCAGGAACATCTGTTCCACCAACAAGGCAAAACAAAACATCTTTAGAATGCACAGCCACGGAGTACTCCAGCTTAGTTCCTTGCCTTACATTGTTTCACTGCAAGGCTTTACACTAAAGCAAAAATTTCACCAAGTCCTTCAAGAGACAGAGCAATATTCTTTCATATGCCATAGTATGTCCCAAAAGAAGCTTGGATAAGACACAGGAAGCAGCCTCAGGTTCCTCTGGGAGTTATGCAGACAGGGTTTCCTCCCTTTTTAGGGAACTG